AATCGATTTTAAATCAGTTTTGAATTTGTTTATAAAAGTAATTTGGTTCTAAACCAGTTTTTCGATGTAATTTAAATGGTTTAAAATCAATTTAATTTGATAAAATGATGCGGTGCGGTTTGGTGTGGATTTATTAAAAAAACGAACCATGTTCACCCTTACAGCACAGAAGGACCGGAGATAAATATGTGGATTAAAGAAAATAGGGATAAGTGGATTAAAGAAAATGACATGTAAAGGGGAATTGGAACATGATGGCAAAGCAAAATTAAACAATTGAATGTTTAGTTGTGGCAAACAAATTAGAATGGTTGTCACAATTTCTTTAATTTTTGTTTTAGAAAAAATAATTACTAATCACCTCCAAACCTATCAAACATAAAATTTAAAATACGATATTAAAGCTAATGCAAGGAAAACTTTTGGGAGGAGTACCTGGATCCTTTATGATTTATGAGTATATTACAGGTAGAGAAGATTCAAATGCATGCTGTGTAGTGTTATATCTTTTCAACACGTTGGTTACAAGCATATACCAGACATCTATCTGCCAGGGTAAGTGTTGTTTACCTACACAAGGGTTTAAGCCTATCAAATCCTAGGTACAAAAAAATGGTGAAGTACTATGCATATATTTTCTATTAAATAAAGCATAAGAGGCCAAAACTTCAATTCATTGATTTGTAGTTGCATTGTATACTTACATTTATTTACATGTAGCTAGCAAAAGAAAATTTGCAGTACTGATAAACTGAAAATGATAATCATAGTTTACATCCCAAAGCATCATACAAGATTTCTTAAACAGAAATAATTGAAATATTTCATTCAAATATGTTCAAATAAAATATTCTAAGAAGCACCAATTACATTTTTGTCATATGAGAAATACATTGGACCTTATATATGTTTGTTTGCAAAACGAACAGCAGCAAAGAAATGGTTGAAATAGAAATCCAAAAATACTTGAAATACATTATGTTTGTTTGTATAATGAATGGTTATGAACAACACCAACAATATGGAAACATGTACTTAGATGTGAAAATTATGGGAATTCTTACCTGTGAAACTAAATACCCAGTACCCACTATGCAACAACTGAAAATGAAAACACCATTTCTCACATGAAACTAAATACCCAGTGCTCTCATCCTTTGCATGAGCACCATTGAACCCACCGCCGTCAGAATCTTCTAGAATGTCCACAAACATGTCACCTCGAGCTCACCATGATGCTTGAAAACATCGTATGACTTCATTGGTACCTATCACGTCACTGTCACACTCTTTTAAGATAATTATTCTCATTTTATACTTATTTTATAAATAATAAAAAATATTATTTTAATCATGTATTTTTTATTAGTACATTTTTATACATAATGTCTTTTTTTTTATTTATTGAAAATGTATATCAATTGATTTGGCCTTTTGTATGAAGAAATACAATTTCTCTAATCAATTTTATAAATAATAATAAAATTATAGGTCGAAGTAATAACGTATATTAAAGTATTTTAATTGAATTTTTTTTTAAAAAAAAATTGAGTGGATTAAAAGTAGATTAACTTATCAATCTATTATTTTTAAGCCATCAATTTATTAAAGTGAGTCAATCCATCAACTTGCCAACTCACCACTATATGAAATGAGTTATATTTTTCAATTTAATTTTTTTAGTGGACCAATCTAATAGATTCATTTTTTTTATGGATCAACTCGCTTTATTTCATTTTAGGTGAGTTGAACTACTTTGTCATTTCTATTGTTTTGTTAGGAATGTGTGTGTAGCTTTTATTTTTATGAATTTGAAAATATGATAGTGTGAAGTGTTGGTTGAGTGAGTTGGCATATGAAAGAAATGTTTGAGAGAAACTGAGGAGTGAGTGTGAGTGTTAGAGAATGGAAGTCTTGTGTGCCTATGTTTGTGTTGGGATTCATCCCAAGTCCCACATCTGTAAAATGAAGGAACATTGGCTAGTTTATAAGGGTGTCTACCATTCCATATAGTATGAGGCCTTTTGGGAAGGAACCCAAAAACAAAACCGTGCGAGCCTAGCCCAAAGCGGACAATATCATACTATGGTGAAGGAACAAGTGGACTATCGGGCCCAACAGTTTGCTGAATAGATGTGGATGGAAAATGGAATGTAAATGAGGCAGTTTATCATGGTTTTGCTGAATAAGAGTGTAATTCTTTCGTTTGCATCGGTCTCCTGCGAAGTGTTTAAAAATTTGTGTGTCGTTACTTTTGTCTATATTTCTCTCTATCTTTAATACTATTTCTTTTCATAATAAATAAAAGATGAGAGAAATTACAAAAGTGATGTTATACAAATATTGAAAAGTTTATGTTATATATATATAACATTATTCTCTTCTCTTTTTCTTTTTTCTTTTTTCTGTATGATATGAAGATCCAACAAAAGCACGATGGATGTTCTGAGACTCTGATCCATCAATACATTTTTTTATCCATACATTTTTTTATCCATATTGGATACGTATCCAATATGAATACATCCAAAGATTCAAGATATATATATGTGTCCCAAGAGTACTCATAATAATTTTATTTAAATTAAATAAATCAAATTTCCAATACTATGCGATGTACATATATTTCTGCTACAAATTATAAGAATGGCATATACGTTTAACCTCATACAGTACTCTCTTGTATAAGATTAACTAATAGTTAAAAAAAAAATGAAGATAAAACATATTTAATCATAAAATAATATATTTATTTTTATAATCACTAATTTATTATAAAAAATATTTTCTAAATGAATTAATTAGAATTATCGAAGTACTGTTGCTTCTCTTTTGCAGCTTCTAGACTTGTATATTGTGAAGTTGAAGTCATAGGGTAATTTACCACCTATTTTCTGGAACATGCTAAATGTGAGATGAAGGAATCAAAACTCAGAAGTACTATACAAAGCTAATGGGGTTGAGTAGTGATTTATCACTACACCAAAATTAATTTTTTGTGGCAATTAATATATTATTTAACGGTTATATAAATGATCATTATTTTTTTACCAGCATTTAAATTAAGGCTAGTGTATCCAGTGTCGCTAATACTATTACCGACATTTATATAAAAAGTTGGTAAAGATCTACTAAATTGTCGAAAAAACTTATTTTTTTTAGTGGCAATTCTAGTAGCCATTTTAAATTCTATTAAAATTTATTTTTTTCAATTGTCTCCTTTACTTAAAATAATTTATTCCTATAATTTTCTTTTCTAAATTTATAACTTATATACTTTTTTTTATTTCTACTCGATATGAGATTTGTAAGATGAGAGTTGTATTTTTTTATATATTTTTTAATTATCTTATTTTTAAGAAATATGAGATTTATAGGTGAAAGTTGCTCTCTAATTGTTTTATAACACTACTTAATTTGGTAATAATGAGTGATTTGATACCAATTTAGAATAGTGAATTAAGAGTCAACCCTATAGAATGAACCTGTAAGGTGATAGTTATTACTCACTTATATACTATTTAATTATCTTATCTCTAATCGATGTGGGGCTTAAGTTTTTTCTAATAAATAATTATCGCTAATAATAAATTTTAGTGTAATATAAATATATTTTTAGTGCTTATTATATATTAGCCATTAATATTTTATATATAACGGTAATTAAATTATTGTCATTAAATAATTGTCGTTAATAACAAATTTTGTTGTATTTTGCACCCAAGCTTCTTCATGGCTTCTTTAATTTGGTTGCCATCACAAGGCCACTTGCAACAATTGTCATTTTTTGTCTATTTGTTTTTTCAGCTTCACCTTTTTCAGATAAAAGATTTTATAGAAGTTATGGTAAGAGAAATTTATAAATTAATTTATACATAAATTAATTTTAATTTATGAAATATTTATAATCTTTTATTCTAAACCATTTATTAATATGTGTGTGTGTAATTTACATCAACCTATTTTATGGAAGGAGTAAATTAGCAAACAACACCTTAGCATTTTAAAAAAGAAGTGTGTATATATGTTAACAAGTCCTATAAGCATTTGCTAATTTTACACCAACTTCTTTTTTAGAAGTTGTATTTATAACTTGTTAACCTATATATATATATATATTCTTGTAAATACTTATGAAAAAGATTATCCCAATGTATTTGTCTCGGTGGTAGTGGTATCTCTATTGTGAGGGGTTTTAAAGGATTTCCATAGGATTGATTTCGATGGGTATCATGTTAACGTGAAGTAGGTTTGGTGTTTTCTTAACTGGGTTAGGTGGCACTTTTATTTTAAGCTTAGGGGCGGTTTCTTGGAAAAAAAAATTTTAATCTTTGGCTGCGCACATCTTATACTTCTGTTTAGCCACACGCTCCATTATTTTTAATAGAAAGTTTAATTTTACTTACATGAAAATGAAACAACCTATAAGAAAATATAAACCTTTTGAAAATATTCAATCAAAATATATAATATAATTAACGTGTTTACCGAAAACACGACGATCAAAATTATTGAGAGAGCATCATAATATTATTTTATACTTTTTCACTTTTGGCTCAGTCCTCCGAAAGCTATTTATGTATCTTTCAGTAACAGGAGAGGTTGATGTTAAATATTGTATTTGGAAGTTGATTGTAAATATATATATTTTGAAGAGTGTTGATATTGCCATAAGATTTTGTAAATATTGTTAAATAACTCCGAAAGCTATTTATGTATCTTTCAGTAAGAGGAGAGGTTGATGTTAAATATTGTATTTTGAAGTTGATGGTAAATATATATATTTTGAAGAGTGTTGATATTCTCATAAGATTTTGTAAATATTGTTAAATATTGTATATTATTTTGAAGAGTGTTGATTTTCCCATAAGATTTGCATGCCTCGTCCAAAATCAACTTGTATATCTTATGCTTGCTTAATTACTTATTAATTTAATTGCAATTCACTCGTGACCCAATCAACATATGTGTCCAAGCATGTATTTATAGTCCCAACAAAACACTTATTTGGCACAAAATCGCATACAAAACAAAGCCTTTTTCCTTAGAAGAAACCTGTTGAAAGGTAGTAATTAAGATGGCACTTGCAGCTTCCACCCAGATTGAAGTACCTGACATCGCACGACCTCGGGCAGATTTTCCTCCAAACATTTGGGAGGATATTTTCCTTCAATATGATTCAGAATCTTTGGTATTACTCTGATAACCATGCATCCATATTTTACACTATCAATTCATATCAAATTATTGGTACAAGATTTCAAAGTAATAACTGTAATCGAATAATTAATTGATAAGTTCATAAAGAATCTGTAGTTAATCGAATAATCGTGTAAAATAATTTTACACTCTTAGTGAATAGTCAATTTTCTCATATTTTATGGTTACGCGCATTCACATAGGTATTATGATTTGTTTGAATTTTAATATAAAATATTATATTGTTTTAACCTTGAAATCTTGAATCAGTCTAGCTGGCTGGTTCGCATATATCTATTGCGATCACTCTAATTAATGGTAAGGCTTTGAGTATATTATATGATATTTAATTTAAATTTTATCTTCATTATAAAATATATATCGAAGAGATTTATTTATTTTAATAATAAGTCTGTTTAAATTTATTTTATTTAATAATTCATGTTTTATATCAATTTTAACGATTCAATTATTGAATTTAAAATTTTTAATACATAAATTAAATTTGTAAATTTTAAAAATTTAAAAATTATTTGATGTTTCGTTTCATTAATTCAAATTGGCGAATAATCATAAAATTATTTTATATGTCAATATGAATTAATGAAATGAAGTATCAAATACTTTTCAAAAAATTTTAAAATTTGTAAACTTGACCTATGCATTAAGAACTTTAAATTCAACAGCTGAATTATTGAAATTTGATATAGAACATGAATTATTGAATGAAATAAGTTTAGATAGACCTACTCCTAAAGTAAATGAATCCCTCCTTATATAGTTTATATATATAAGGAATAATCAAATTATTTCAAGAGTAACTATTAGTAAAAAAATTTCACACAATAACTTATGATTTATGTTGAATTTCAACGATTCAATGGTTAAATTAAAATTTCTTAATGTATATATCAAGTCTATAAATTTTTAAAACTTTTAAAACTGTATTATTCTTTATTATATAGATTCAAATCAATGTATGTATTAAATACTTTTATGATTATCCATCAATTTGAATTAATGAAACGAAGTATCAAATAGTTTTCAAAATTTTAAAAAAATTTAAAATCTTGATATATGCATTAAAAACCTTTAATTTAGCAGTTACATCGTTAAAATTTAATATAGTGTTTATGTGTGTCTATACACACACATATATATATTACAAGTTACAACTACTTATTTTCTTTTAGAAAGAAAGGTTAACAAGTTATAAATACAACTTCTAAAAAAGAAGTTGGTGTAAAATTAGCAAATGCTTATAGGACTTGTTAACATATATACACACTTCTTTTTTAAAATGCTAAGGTGTTGTTTGCTAATTTACTCCTTCCATAAAATAGGTTGATGTAAATTACACACACACATATTAATAAATGGTTTAGAATAAAAGATTATAAATAAAGCTACTACACCGTCACCATTGTAATTACATTTATCACTGTTGTCATCATTACCACTACCACTATTGTCACCATAGTTTTCAAGAAAATTTTTAAATTTATAAATTTGATCAATACATTAAGAACTTTTTATTTAACTGTTGGATCATTGAAATTTAACATATATCATGAATTATTGAGTAAAGTAATTTTACCTTTGATCACTCCTCTTCCCCCCCCCCCGCCCCCCCTCTCT